TGCTTCTCCCTCTCCCACTCCCCCTGCTTGTGTTCCCTCTCTCGCTGTGTCTCTCTCTGTCAAATAAATACATAAATCTTTAAAAAAAAAAGTTAAAAAATGTATTGCTATTTTTAACTGCCTAATACCACCAGTAACATAAAAAAGCATGAAATATGGATAACATCCCCAATTTTTAACATAACAAAGCCCTGCAGGACCTGTTCCCTAACCCTATAGGGTAGTACTCTCCCATATCTCCGGCAAGGTATGCCTACTTCTCATCATTTGCATCTGTCTCATTGTTTGCAAACCTTAGCTGAGCTATCACCTCTTCCAGGAAGCTTTCCCTGGATTTTTCGTGTCCTTGCCACTCTCAATTTGAATACGGTGTTTTCCTTTGTGCTTCCAAGAATACCTTTCCTGTTACACTGATTCTAATGGATTATGATTTGTTTACATGTCTCTCCATTGAGTACAGCGATGTATCCTTTTCATGTCCTTGAGACTAGCACAGCATACAGCTTATAGTAGTAATGCAATAAATGATCACTGAATGAGTGAACAAATAAATATTGGTCATAACAAAGTACATCTGCATTTATATATGAATACTGCAAAATTTGTTCTCTACATCAAAAACGTCAAGTCCTTTTTTCTAGCCTGTGCAAGAGGTTTTCTCCTCCTCTTCCCAAGGAGAAGTGCCTTGTCTTTGAAGACGTTCCTAACAGCATAGAGGCGGCCCTTGCAGCTGGCATGCAGGTAGTCAAGGTTCCAGATGGAAACTTGCACCAATACTTGACATCAAAGGCCACCCTGGTGCTGGATTCCCCGCCGGACTTCCAGCCCAAACTTTCGGTTTGCCGCCCTGTGAGTGAACAGCCCACCACACCTCTCTGGGCGTCAAGGCTACTGCACCCACTTTGGTGACCCATGCCACCCAGAAGAATCACCACCTGAGTATTCCTTCCAGCCCATCAGGTTGGCCTTCGCATCCCATGTGGGCTTGGCCTACTCTGGCTAGTGCTGACAAATCACGACACAGCTGAGAGACAGCAAAACAGAAACAGTCCAGAACAGAGATCAAAACACTCATTTGCATAATCATAAACAGTATGTGAACGATCATACAATTTCATTATATTTGAATAATCACGTAAGACTCATATACAGCAAATATGCATACATACATATACATGGCTGTGAGTGCTTGTGCATGTATGTATATATATGTGTGTACTTATACATGCACATATATATGTAAAACACTTCCTTTTCCAAGACAAAGTGAAATTATATTTGTGTTCATTTCTTTTCCTTTTTAGTTTTTCTAAACCCTGGCTGTAAAAGGTAAAATGCACGCGCGTGTGTGTGTATGCTCATATATATGTATATGCTTATATGTGTATGAAGATATATGTCATAGTCATATATTTCCTATACTACTTCACTCTTTTAAGTGTTGGTCTTAATGTGCCATAGCAACTGATAAAAGAGATGGTAACTGTATTTGGTTTGCAATCTGAGTAGAAAAGCCAAGTCATGGATGAGCCCTGAGAAATCATCCTCTTTCTTAGCAAAATTGAGTAAATCTGTGGCCTCAAAATCTCTCTGTGGACCTCTACTCAAAAGCAAACTCAGAGCTGTACCATCTTTTCAGTGTGAACAAACTGTAGCTTGTATTTTACATCTAAGTGCATGTCCACATTTGAGGATATTTTCTACCTCAAAAAAATCATCCCCCTCTTCTGAAAACATTTATTTCTCTAATACAGTCTTTGATACAAATATAATTTGAATTCAGAATGCATACTTGATATGACTGAGAGCCTTAGCACATTTTTGGAATAATTTACCAGACATTACACTTTGGCAATGGACCCCTTTTAGTAAACTTACTCAGCCCTTTGTGATGGGAAAACTGAGAAAGCACTGAATATGGGAAAGACATAATCACAGGGAGCACCCTGTCTGCTGGTTTGTCACTGATTGTCATTGAGCTAATTTTCAAGTGGAGTTGGAAGAAAATGATGGTGATGTATATGATTGTGGGGAGGGCTGGTCGTCTGCTGATGGTTGCCTCTTACTGTTGGAACAGTTTTGTATCTGTTCAACAAATTCATTTCAGCATTACTGATCGCCTGTGTATGGGTCTATTCTTTAAATTCTCCCTCAAACTGGTTGTAACATCTTACTGAATCTCTCATCAATTAATTGAATAAAATCTTCGACATCAGTTAAAAAAAAATGTAAGTCCTTAAAGAGTCTTATGGGCAAGACTTTCTACTGAAGAAGATCTAAAATAGTTTGTAAATATCAGTACAATTTATGTGTTAATCTTTCTTCCTATCCTGAAACAGTAGCTAAGTTAGGGTTTACTACAGAGGACAAAAACTGAGCAATTAAAGTATCCAATGACACTGTCCAATAAAGGACAGGTATTCCTTGTCATAAGCATAAAGATTGCCCAAATCTGTAAGGCTCCATATATTGGTTCAAACACAATCCTTTTTCAAGTGGAAAAGAAGCAGCATATTCTTACAAAACCCAATTTGCAAAAAATAAATAATAATCTGCCCAAAGCAACTTAGTCTTTCACCTGGTTGAGACTAGAGATTCAAAGTCTATGACTGCTATGTGTTGATGAAAACACTGATTATCTTATCTGAAGGAGTACACGTTGTCTTTCGGCAATCACACCTCATGTTTCCAGAGTGCTATAGTAAACCATGCACCCTGGGGTCAGAGACTAGGTTTTAATCCTTTTTGGATCCTCAGCACATTGCTCAGAGCCTAGGATATGGCAGGTGCTCAATAACTGCTTGCCAAATAAAATTCTACCTGAACAGCTTCATCACGTGCTTGTTTTTCTTCTTGTCTTCGCTGACGTTCTTCCTGTAACTCATTAAGCCTCTGCTCATATTCCTTCAATTTTGATAAGACATCATGGCGCTTATTCTGGGCTTCAAGGGTATTTATGAAGGCAATTTCATTTACCTTCGATAAAAACAAAGAAAGTGAGTATCAAATCAAGTTAATTCTAAGACACCCAACAAAAATAAACCTAACAGAGTCTCTCATAGTAATATATACTACAAATAAGGCATAAAACAAAATGGGTCTTTTCTTTTAATATTTGCCTCAAAAATGGATAGTAATCCAGGGTATATAAGAAACCCACATGCATAAGAATTGATTTAGAATAAATATTTTAGTGGCAGATCTTACATCAAGAAACAAATTAAGATTCTTACAAAAACATCTTATAAAGTTCTACTTAATTCATTATAATTTGCAATTATATAAATTACATTAAGATTTAAATAGGTACATATGTTATTCTAATGAATTTGGGAAAACTTAAAATAAGCAACAAATCATTTTTCTTCAACATATACCAAATAAGTGACAACTAGGAACAAGGTAGTGAAATATCTACGACCATCCTCAACTTCGCATATATTGATACTTACCAGCCAAGTTTTGCTAGAAAGCATAGCTCTTATGAGTAAAGTTTAGCTAAAGATAAAGCTGGAAAAAGTCAGTTGGGATCAAATTTCTCATTTTTGAAAGCCAGAGGGAAGGCATGCTACAGTGAAAATGGTAGACTAAAACAGGAAAGTAAACACGGGGACTGACTCTGACAGAAGTACAGACTCCAGGAATCCATGCTGGTGGAATAAAAACTATCACTAGATATGTTAAAAATCTCAGACAAGAGAGTTTGAATATAATTCTAACAAAGATTTCCCAATCACCTTTCCACGTGGCCACTTTTTTAAGTAGGATAATAACATAACCATCCTTCAAACTATACTGAAAGTATAAGAAACAGCTGTACTCAAGGAAAATGAATCATACTACATCAGGGCTCACATGTTAAGCATAATCAAGATGAAAGAAAAAGGAATGGAACTTAATGCTTTAGACAAAATAAATAAGTAAACTAAAGTTAGAGGGAAGAGTGTGCAAAAGTTGGATAAAAATTTCAAACTGTGATGTTGGTCAAAGGGTGCAAAGTTTCAATTATGCAAGATGAATAAGTTTTAGAGATGTACAGCATGGTGATGACACTTAACAATACTTGAAATTTGCTAAGAAGATAGAGCTTCAATTTTCTCAGCACATATGCAAACACACAAATGGTAATTACGTAGAGGTGAAAGGTGTTAATTAGCTGGGCTGTGATCATTCCACACTGTATATGTATATTAAAACATCACGCTGTAAACCTTAATATATTCAATTTTGATATGTCAATGATATCTCAATAAAGCTATAAATAAATAGATCATAAGTTAACAGGAAAATAAAAAACCCAATCTGGAAGAAAACATAACCCAAGGAAAATCAGAAAACTCCCTCAGCAAACTTTGTAATATAAAAGAAGTTAACAAAAACCTGAATTTAATAGTGCAAAAAAATGGTAACAGAACAAAACAATAAAAGATTAGAAAGCTAAGGAAACAAAGTGAGGACAAAAGTAACACTATCACTGAATTAGAAAAAGCATGGAGCAAATAAAGATGGCAAAAAATCAAATCACTAATAGAGGCAAGTCTCATGATAAGTTAATGTAGAACTTAAAAATGAAAATTTATGTATAAGTAATAAGCTCTGAATATAATGAACAAGTCATTATGGCCAAATATAAGGATAAATAACATCTATAGTTAAGAAAGACAAAGGGCACCTGGGTGGTTCAGTCAGTTAAGCGTTGGACTCTTGGTTTGGAGCTCAGGTCATGATCTCAGGGTCCTGGGATTGAGACCTGCCTCCAGCTCCAGGTTCTACACTCAGCATGGAGCCTGCTTGTCCCTCTCCACACCGCACACCACCCCCCACTCCTCCCCCCACTTGTGTGCACTCTCTCATAAATGAATGAATGAATGAATGAATGAATAAATAAATTAAAAAAATCTTGGAAAAAAAGACAAAATATTCCAACATATAATACAATACGGAAAGTTTTCCATGGAAAAAAAAAAAGAAAGCAAATTGAAAACTGAAAGAGCACATGTTATTTCATGAAAAAATGTTCAGAAGATCAATACCAAGAATACCCTTATTAAATCTTATTAAATTACAAAACACTAAGGAAGAATAATAATTTTTTTAAAAGATTTTTATTTATTTATTTGACAGAGAGAGACACAGTGAAAGAGGGAACACAAGCAGAGGGGAAGGGAGTGGGAGAGGGAGAAGCAGGCTTCCTGCCGAGCAGGGAGCCCGATGTGGGATTCGATCCCAGGACCCTGGGATCATGACCTGAGCCGAAGGTAGATGCTTAATGACTGAGCCACCCAGGCGCCCCAGAAGAATAAATTTTTTAAGCTTCCAAGCAGTAAATGCAAATTACCTACAAGAAGGAGAGGAGGAAAAATCAGTGTGGCCTTGGGCTTCTTCCCAGAAGTAGTTAATACTAGAAGAAAATAAAGCCTACAAAAATTTGAAGGAAAAACATTATGAACCATGAACCTGATCTCTAGCAAAAATGTATTCAGACAGAAATGCCACAGCCTTAGATATGGAAGAACTCAAGGAATAGAGCATATATAAGTTCTTCCTGAAAATCACTTGTTAATAAAATCCAGTTAACCAGAGACAAGTCAAAACAAACAACTCATACATGGAGAATTAGTGAAACTGTGAGTTCATTTATATACAGAAGGAAAACTATACTAAGGAATTATACTTTCAGAGCAAAGTGTAAATGTTATCTATCTTAACAATGTAAAATTAATAAAACTATGAAAAACTGTTGGGAGGAGATTAGGGACAATAAAAAGAAATGGTAGTGCTAGTTTCCTCAAAACTGTCATAAAATGAAATAGAGTGTAGTAAATATAATCATTCCAAACTCTTAATTTTTCATAATTTTTATAACCTTAGAAGAAATAATGAAAAATAATGCCTTTTGTGAGAAAGAAACATTTATTACAAATCAATAATTCCCTCAATTTTACTGCCATTTTACTTCCATCTCTTAAAATGGAAATAAAATCAAGTTTAATGCTTCTTATTCATAAGTATCATTTATAGTATAATTCCATTTTTTCAAAGTTACCTATTCATGCAATCTGAACATTATTCTAGAGAGATGTCTGGGACAGTATTTACCATTAGGTATATGTATATGGTGGCTATTTCTGAGGGTGGAATTTTGAGTTCTTGCTATATTGCTTCAATTCTTTAAAATGAAAACGAATTATTTTTATAATAATGATATGGTTACTATTCTTAATATAAAATAATATTAAAGAAAGCTAGGGAAATGCATTTATTCTAAGACTTGAAGATAAGGGAAAGTCTGAAGGTTTTTGAGCTAAGAGGTAATACAATAATAGCCTACAGAAAGATTAATTTAAAGGGAGTAGGGAAAAAAGGCAAGCATACCAACTACAAATATTTAGGAGGGAGATCTAAAAAATAAAAAACCTGGTGGCAATTATCATAAAAAGAAAAACACGTGAGAGACTACAGAACTGTAGAATCTGCAGCTGAATATATCATGGGAAATGGGGGAAGAAGTCAAAAAGACCAGCTTATCTTTTTGCTATATACACAAGAATTACTCAAAACAACAATAAAAAGAGTGAATCAAAGTAAATGATCAGAACTTTCCCAAGTCTAAGTTAATGGGAAATTAGTGATACCATTATCTGAAATACATATTTCAGAAAAAGCAGATGGTCTGGGAGATAGAAGCTGTGAGCTGATGAGTTCTACTGCATACAATCATCAAGCAAAAGGTAAATGAATCCAAACATCAGTTGTGGCCACAAAACAAGTCTCAGCAAATTTCAAAAGACTGAAGTCATGTCATGCATCTTTTCCAACCACAACACTATGAAACTAGAAATCAAACACAAGAAAAAAATCTGGGAAAGAACAGGAGAAACATGGAGGTTAAATAACTTGCTACTAAACAATGAATGGGTCGACCAAGAAATCAAAGAGAAAATTAAAAAAATACATGGAGATAAGTGGAAAACACAACAGTCCAAAATCTTTGTGGTGTAGCAAAAGCTCTTCTAAGAGGGAAGTTTATAACAATACAGGCCTACCTCAAGAAGAGAAAGCTCAAATAAACAACTTAAACTTACACCTGAAAGAGCTAGAAAAAGAACAAACAAAAAGTACAAGGAAAGAAACAATAAAGATTACAAGCAGAAATAAATAGAAACTAAGAAAACCATAGAACAGATCAGTGAAACCAGGAGCTGGTTGTTCAAAAACATCAAAATTGATAAACCTTTAGCCAGACACATCAAAAAAAAAAAAAAGAATTCAAACAAAATCAGAAATTAAAGAGAAGGAACTGACACAAAAGAAATACAAAGGATTATAAGAATATATCATGCAAAATTATATGCAAACAAATTGGACAACATAGAAGAAATGGATAAATTCCTAGAAACCTATAATCCACCAAAATTGAATCAAGAAGAAATAGAAAATTTGAACAGACTGATTATAAGCAATGAAATTTAAACATTTAAAGAAGAGTTAATACCTATACTTCTCAAGCTATGAAGAAGAAGAAAAGAAGGAGCAGGACGAGGAGGAGAAGAAGAAGTAGTAGTAGTAGTAGTAGTAGTAGTAGTAGTAGAGTAAGAAAAGCTTCCAAATCCATTCTATGAGGCCAACATTATCCTGATACCAAAACTGGATAAAGACACTACAAAAAAAGAGAACTGCAGGACAGTATCTCGATGAACACACATGCAAAAATCCTCAACAAAATATCAGCAAATCCAACAATACATTAAAAAATCATCACAATCAAGTGCGATTTATTCCTGGGATGTAAGGGTGATTCAATATTCACAAATCAACTTGATACATCCATCAACAAGAGAAAGGATGAAAATCATATGATCATTTCAACAGATGAAAAAAAGCATTTGATAAAGTACAACAACCACTTATGGTAAAAACTCTCAAAATAGTAGGTTTATAGGGAATATACCTCAACATAATAAAGGTATCTATGA